GCAAGTAGAACAGCAACAGCAGCAGTTGGGTACCGACTTCACGCCAAATTTTAATTCGTGGACGAATTTCTCCTTTACCAAGAACTTCATAGCAAATGTGTTTTGCTAAACTTTTCTTTGAGTCAAAAACTTCCTTTCAAAATTCTCAATTGATGCATTTCCCCGCAAAAGGCCCGGTTACCGGGAACACCAAATAGTATAGGAGGCTCTGTTGAGTTTAAGAACTCGCGCTTTGGGTAGCAGAAACTTTGGAGACTTGCCAGTGAATGAAAGCATGCCAATTGCATTTAACAAGTTCATTTGTTATAAAACTAACACTACAACTACCAACACTATGGACAACTAATCATGTCTAGTCCAGGCTTTGGAGACTATGTATATAAGTAAAGTTTCTCGATCTCTGAACTGGAGATCAAGCTTTTCCAGACATATATTCTACGCTAGGGAACTGCAAGCAAACTTAAACTCGAAAATTGAATGAGATCAATTGTATAAGAAATTTTTAATACGAGAAAGAACAAGATTTTCATACCAAAAAAAAAAAAGCATAAACGAGAGTCTTCCGCTCAGCACACGTAAAGTAATATTTTGTAATAACACTACAATCGCTGTTCGACTTTAAGATCCAAGTGAGACCGAACAGATTGAGTATAATTATGTTAGAATTCTTCCTGTATAAGCTAAAAAGTGTTTATTGTGAGCCTAGTGAACCAAGCCTACTTCGAGCAGAGTGCTCGCCGTTTGAACGTATTTTTAGAGAAACCAACAAACTAAATCTAACTTAACTAAAGCGTAGCTTTAAAACGCCCCGAGTACAGATCGTTGTGCTTCAATTTCAAAGTCCACAGTTGACTTTTAGCAGGGGCAATAAAACGCTTCTGCGGGGCGAGAATAAGATGATTAACAAATAATATTTCCGGGCCGTATTACTTACTGCCCGCCCCCACCTAAGAAATATAGACGAGAGGGAGAGAGAGAAAGAAAGAGAGATGTGTAAGAAAGAATACAAATAATAACAATGTAAATAATTAAATTGTGATATAGTATTTCTTAGCACAATTGTGATCTTAACAAACGGCTGGCAACTACAAAAACTTTTATAAGCGAACCACAAAACCATTTTAATCAATCAAAACAATGCCCCGCACGTAAATCGTTCAAAATTAAGACCCACTTTCCCACAATCAGGGGCAATATCAGGCATATCTCAGCAGCAATGTTGTTTGTCAATTTTTGACTGACATCTTGGGAATGTGAACCTAAACATGAGAAAACAAAAAATTTAACGAATTTAAATTAGTTTAAAATTGAATGCTTGAACAGTCTTCAGACATAAGAGTTTGTATGATATATACGATGAGAGGTATTTGAGAGAATGTATTTGAGCGACTTGTAATTTTACGAAAACCAAAACGGAAGTATATTTTTGTGAGCCACTAGTGCGTAAGAACGGGGGATAGAAGCCTTTTAAGAAATGTTAAGTCTTTTGATAACTGCGCGTAGAGTTCGTGATGGTTTTCAGCCAGGCCAAGTTTCCTATAATTCGTAAGCATGTCAGCATGTTAACTAATTCCTCCTTCAAACGTAGTCTCCAATGTGTGAAACAGTTGCCTATTAGCGTTTATCTTTAGACTAAGCAATGACCAGCAATGTCTCCAAGGTGGTGTCATCAGAGCCTATAAGTTTACAGCACCGAAAATCAAAAGAAGTTCCCTGTAACTCGGTCTTTTGCGTACAATTTGAATGTAGTTCTCTAAGCGTATCAGCCAAAAACAAAAAGAAATTTGCATTTGCTTTAAATCTTTTACCACTGACTTTTAAAGCTTTTTGAAAAGCCATATTAACTTTTATTTTATATGTTTACTTAATGCGCTGCAAATCTGTTTTAAACATTTCTCTAATCTCTTCTATTTCGGATTTGGATTACACTTCATTTTTATTAAAAACCTATAGTTTAAACTTTTATTTTCTGGAAACACTCAAGATCCGTTTCCAGCCGCCTTAGACAAATGCCCAACGAAATTGACAATAATTTCAATCCATACTGATTTGATGTATTCTTTCTTCCTTTTACCAAAACGAACTTAACTTCTTTGGCCATTTGTCTGGGCCAAGTAACAAGCAACATCAAACTTATCCAGCAAGCAATGAATATCAAACTACAAGAACAGCGTTGTTTACACAGCTTGAAATTGCAACAAACCCAAGAATTCAATATTGTAACATTATGTTGTAAAAAAAAGAAACAAACTCTAAAGTGAAACATTTAAATATGAATCCACACAAAACGACTCCTCATTTGATGAACTGCAATCCCATTACAATTTCACCAATCCAGAGACACATATTATATTTTACTTTCATTTTTTAAAGAACCATAGACATAGCATTAATGAACTTTAGTAAAGGGCTCCTGGAACAACAACCGACCACATTAAGTTAATTTAAGTGAATGTGGATGCGTGAGGACTTGCTATACTGAAATCTTGCCAACACCTGAAAGTCAGAACCGCCCGACGATCGGAGTAATCCAAGTACTGGCTCCGAGCTAAATTTGCTATGCATTTTAACCATTGTATCGAACATAAACAAACCAAAACCAAATCTGTAAACACGTCCAAAACCAAATCAAGGACGTGAGTGCACAAGAATAGACTTCCTGAAAATAAAGTGAAAGATAATTCAGATTGGTTGAGCAATTCTATTCTAGTGTAAGCACTTCCTTCAAAATCATACGATATCAAAAATAAAATTTGTAGAATTTAAAGCCAAATACAAAATCCAAGTTAACTCTTCAATCAAGAACAATTGTAACGTAAAAAGATTATTAAATAACTTATTTGTGGCAATATATATTTCCAATGTTTTCCCCCAAAAATTTCCGGCAATAAATTGATGTACCAAGTTTTAAAACTGAATGTTTATTTGTTTTTTGGGAAGATTGTCACATAATCAACATTTACCAAATGAAAGTAAGTTATTGAATACCAGCTTGGTTTTCACTATTGTAAAGGGTACAACGATACTGAGAATTCCTTGATAACAATATACTTTTCATATTAACAAAATAACCATAATGCTAACCTAGTTGGTAACTAAGGGCTTTGATTATCCGCAACATTGATGTATTTTCCTTGCTGCAGGGAAAGTTCCTTGGGCAGGATGATAAACTCTCCTCCGTTGGTACAAAGCGTCTGGGCTTCTGAGGAAACAAAGTGTCGTTTGCCGTAGGGCACCTTTCGTCGATCCGGTTCTACCCGTTTCATAGGATCCAGAGTCATAAACTTTCCCTCCCGATGGTGTCGTCCCTGCTGTGAGTGCGAACGCATGTGAGTAAGGTAATTCGAAGACGGTAATTTGCTATTGCATCCCGGAAAGGGGCACTGGGAACTCCGGCCCTTGTGCCACCTCATGTGCGACACTAATCGCGTCCACACCCGAAATCTTAAAACGCAGTCCTTATATGGGCACTCGTAAACTTGCTGCTCCGTGGACTCGGCACTGTGGGTCCGCAGGTGCTTCTGGTAGGATCCTTGGTAAGCGAAGGACACGTTGCACTCCACGCACATGTACTCCGATAGCCTGTGCGCGCTGTTCTCGTGGCGGATAACGTCAAAATATCGTGGGAATATCTCGTTGCAGCGGAGGCACAGGAATTCCAAGTCCCTTCCGCCACACTTGGTCTTGAAGTGGCCCATCGTCTTCATGTGCTCCTGTAGTTCTCGAAGTTTGAAGAACTTTGAGCCACATTCGCGGCAATAGTACTCCGGATTCGGACGGGGTTTCCCACAGTGCATGCGGATGTGGGCCAGGATTTCGAGCACCTGGCTGCAACAGGTGCACAGCATCCGGGTTGCTTGGGTCTTGTCCTTGAAGAGCTTGGTGACCGCCAAGCCATCGCGGGCCAATCCCACGCTGAAGAAATCCTCGGACGGGGATTTCAAAGGTTCTTGGTTTGCAAATTCCATATGCTCCAGTTTTCCCGATTGATCATTGTGTTCCTCCTCTGGCTCCGCAATATACTGATCAGGAGATTTCTCCTCATATTTCTCGACTGATTTCACCTCTTCTTCGTATGGTGGATACTCCAACTTGACCTGAAACGCAGTGGAGTCGTCTATTTCGATGGGCTTGTCGTGGATCTCTTCCTGGGCCATGCTCCATTTCTCCAGGGATTCGCTAATGCGCAAAGTCTCCCCAAAACAGAGATCGCAGATGCAAGAATTTTCTCCCAGAAGAGCGACCTATAATAGGGGGATATGTTTGCATTCAACATCCATGGACACTCTTTCCGAACTTACATCAATTTTGTACCAATCGAATAGTCGTTGCAACAGTTTGTTAACCGATTTGAAATTCGGATTCTCAAGATCGATCTCCGTTGCCCGGTTATCCTTGCATAGTTTGCACAACTCTGCGTCTGTCATTTTGAAGAAACTTTCAATTAGTTCTAAAAACCATTTTAATAGATTGCAAAATAATCAATGATTTCTTCGATGTCTGCTAATCGATACTCTCGATATACCTACACTTAATCGATATGTTGCAGAGCTACTTAACATCGATAAGCAATTAAATTAATCGATTTTTAAAATTTGTCTAATTTTTAAATTTAGAAATTTATACAAATCTAAAAAAGTTTAATATTGTATCGAATTATACAACCTTAATCGCTCCTAATTTTATAACCCGTGTTATATACTTATAATTTATACCGTGTGTTATAGCTTTAACTCCGAATAAACATACATTTTTGAGTACGTTACGTGAGAAACTAAAACTCCGTTCCGTTCATTTAAACTTTAGATTTAACTTTTTTACAAACTAAAAAATAAATTGAGACAAGAACATACAAATAATTATGATTTGCTTTCAGGTGTGCAGGCAATAGCTTGGCTTCGTTACTAATAACAATTTAAATGTAAAATTTTTAAATTAAGTTTTCTAGATTCTAGGAAACTAGTTCCATTTCCCTCCGATAACCTGCAGGTATCGATGGGCGCCATCGTCTATCAAAATCGCGATCTAGTTCGGTTCGTGTGCAGCAGAACGCAAAGTACAACAGGATTTTTCCGTTCCGTGTGACGTGAAAAGTGCACATTGTATTTGTTCGAATTAGTTTAAGGCTAGTTAACTAACTAAACAAATAGCCATGGTAGGTAGTTGTTGATCGATTGAGATAATAAATATGATAAAATGCTGACGCAGTGAGCGGTGTGTGTGTGCATGCATGTGAGCCGCGCGTTAGCTGGTGTGTGTGTTTTGTCGTGGCAATGTGTGCGTGTTAAAAAAAGCGGCCGCCGCGTCACAATACAAAATTGTGCTTCGATTTTTCCTAATTGCATTTCGATTTTTCCCCTTTTCCGCATTCCCCATTTACACCTTTTCTGGGATCAGTCGTTTGCGGAAAAGATAACGGGTCTGCTGGCCCGACCGAATCAACAAGATCCAATTGGACCGGAGCAGCCCTGGTATCTCAAATATGGAAGTCGATTGCTGGGCATTGTGGCCGCCTTCTGTAAGTCGTAGGATATATACTAAATTATCTGCTAGCTTAACCCATTAAAAAGTAGAGAAAAACATCCGTGACATTGGGCGGCCCAAAAATATGTTGCATCGATTTTTTGTACCACCCTATGTTGTTGTTGCTGTTATCTATTCGTGGGTGTAGGTGTGCAGTTGTGTTCGTGTGTGTACGCACGCTCTCTGACATTGATAAAGGAACAGCAAGAGAGAGAGAGAGAGAGAGAGGTAGTGAGAGCGGAGAAAGGAAACATGGAAAAGACAACACAAAAAGGATACACAAATTCGCACACTGAAAACAACGCTTGTTATGTGTATGGCTGAAGTATATGCTTACGTCAATTTCAAGCAAATATAGAGTAAGGAGTGAGATTTTCATTTGAATTAAAAAAGAAACTCCGCAATAATAATGAAAATAAAGTCTGCAAATGATACCGAAATAAAAAAAAATACCTCTACCCATTTAGTTAACACAATTGTCGATGTACCGCGTTCAATATTTACTTATCTAATAACATCGTTGGATAACTTTTTTTTTTCGTGTAGAGGAAATTGCAAGTGTGTATGGGAGCTTTTCTGTGTCAAGTTTGGCGCTCTGTTTTTTACTTTCCGCATCGAATGTAATTCTCTGTGGCCATTCAATCGAAATTCACATTACCTTTTGTTTCATCAGCATCCCCTCGTTTCCTCGTCCCTTCTTTATTTTTAACTTTGTTTTACCCGTTTGCGTATTTGATTTTTATCTGGAATCATTTAACCTTAACCCTTAGGCTGCCACACGTGCTTTAAGTGCAACATCGTAAAAAGTAACTGCGAATCTTCAATTCAATGGGGTCATCTATTTTGTAATTTCATCATCAGCTTCTGAATGCATAAGAAATTAAGTTCAACGAACTTTTAAGTATTCTTGGTCTACTTTGATGAAGTCTAAGTTGATATTTTTCATCATAGTTCGGGTTTTGATTATGATACTTGGTTTCACGTCATAGAATACTTACTTTAAATTATTTTCATTTAACATTATTTGCCTAATTTATGTTAAAAACATTATGTTATAATTGATTTTAAACTATGTATATATATTTAATGTGCGTTATCGGAGACGGAAAATTTCACAGAAACAATATGTTTCATTATTTGCATTCTTTAGAGACTTTGTACACTTACACATATGTATTGTTCCTGGAAATTGTAGTCAGCAAAATAATATGTGTTTATATAAACCCTGCAGATAAACGTTTTTACATATTTTTTGTCTCTGTACAAACGCATCTTTTGTGTTGTATATTCTGGCAATGATTCTCACTTAGGGAAATGGAAAAATTGCCCAACAACTGAACACCATCCACTTAAAATAAATATACATATAAATAGCTGAATACCTCAATTAAGGGATCTCAACTCACTCGTGCGGCTTCCACAATGAACCGGTTCTGTTTGCGTAAAATAAAACCAAAGTCTATGATTAATAAATAATTTTATTAGCCAGTCCGTGGAGCACAACGACTTCCCCAAGTTGGGTCAGTCTGCCTGGCTTTAAGAACCGCAATAACCTCAAAGCCCAGATCGCATTTCGCAAAAGGAAAACTTAACTTGCGCAGCTATAGTCTAAAAGTGACCTAAATCATAGAATTTTATACTCAATTTAATGTTTTCAGAACTCTAGAATTGAGAAAACCTCGTGATCTTTTGTAGCATTTTTTTCAGCTACTTTTATTCAACTATCGCGCCCAGACATTTGTTTATCTGTGAATTATAGTTGTATGTGCTCTTTGTTTATGCTTCTATTATAGACCAAAAGCAGCTGATAAAATATTTTAATGTAATTCACTTGTACGCCCAGCGATATCAGGTGGAATTTAGTGAATTCTACCTATGAACTACTATCAACTAACAATTTGCCCAACTGTTTTTTTATACTGTTTGTCACGCTTCTGCGGCTGGCTTTTGTTTTGAATTTTTAAATAAAAGAGAAGGCCATAAAAAGTTGAAAATTGGCACAAAATGAGTCAGCGTTGTAGATTAGATTTCGTTTTCGAGTCTTTTTCCATGTGGGGCAGTTTGCCCTACATATGGGTCTAGGTCTAGTGGGAGTTGAGACCATTTTTGGTCAGTCCCCTGGGTCAGTGTTTTAAGATAAAGATATACGCCTTTCATTGGAAAAATTTAAAAAATAATACCTCTACATGACATTTTCATTTATTATAGGAATGTCAAAACATTAAACTTAGTGTTAATTCATTTAGGCAAGCTACTTGTTCTCTAAATAACAAAATATCCATAGAAGTTAGCAGTTGGAAAGGACTTGCGGTGTCTGAATACAGTAGATTAAGTAGCAAAAACTGAAAAGCCAGTGATTAATATTATAAATTCTTAGATTTATTACATTGTATAAATAGCATCTCTTATTCTATGTCTTCCTTCCAGTTGCCATTCTATTCGGCCTGTGGAATGTGTTCTCCATTCTCACTCTTAACGTATCCTGCCTGGTGGCTGGCATCATTCAAATGGTGGCAGGATTTGTGGTGATGCTCCTGGAGGCGCCCTGCTGTTTCGTCTGCTTTGAGCAGGTGAATGTGATCGCGGATAAGGTGGACTCCAAGCCCTTGTACTTCCGGGCCGGGCTCTACATTGCGTGAGTAACCAATGAATTTGTTATAAATTGTATTATTAAGTATCGTTTATGTTTTTTAATTCAGCATGGCCATTCCGCCCATTATTCTGTGCTTCGGACTTGCCAGCTTGTTTGGCAGTGGCCTGATCCTTGGAACTGGCGTGGTCTACGGCATGATGGCGTTAGGCAAGAAGTGAGTACGGGGCGGTAATAACATCAGGAAACCGCACTTAAATTCAGAAAATCACAGCCATCCGTAAGAATTTGGAAAGACGTAGCTAGATTCTGATCAAGATGTATTAATACTGCACTCTTGTGTTGCTGAAACTAGATCATGGATTTGGAAAAAGCTGGCTTTATGGAGATTTTCTGAATTTTAAGTCGATTTCGATTGACCGTGTGGGGGTTAGTTTAGTGCTAAGCGAACGGAGAAACGAGCGATTTAGTTAGTTGTGCTAAGCCATTTTTGCTAATCGAAACCAAATGTTTTCTCTTATTCCCACGATGTGCTTGCCACTGTGAAAATAACAACGCTTAAATAACAATAAACTAACACGTAGAGCTTCTCGAGAGGACATGGCCGCCGCTGCCACATCGCCCACACAGATGGCCGGCAGTCAGGCGGGCGGTCAGATGCAGATGGGCGGCGATCAGCATATCACACTCATGGAAGATCCCGATGTCTGGCGCCCCACATAAATTCCTAGCCGCGCCATTAGTAACTGCCAAAAAACCACACTCAGATACAGATAAAGACACAGATACTCAGATACATCCACACACAAAATACTCCACTAGAAATGCGAACGATGCAAGAATTGATCGAGTAACAAATATTTTACGGCGCCTAGTTTTTAGTGTTCGTTCCGAGGATAAATGTAACTAAGTGATGAGAAAAGTCACTACCAAGCAACATTGTAGGGCATCAGTGAACTAGTATACAGAACACCCCACCAAATACAAAAATTAATTGACCGAAATTCTCATTACTGTTGAAACCGAGCGTGTTAGTAATCAAAGTGTATTTTGGACAAATGCATTTACGTCATTCGTCCTCTTTTTGCATGACATTCGTATTCGTATTCAAATTTTTTAATATCTTTCGTCGAGCGGTTGGTGTTGTTGAAAACTACAGTTAAATATATTATATGCATAGAGAAACTACTGATAACAAACAATAACGTAACTCACATGTCAAACTGCAGCAAGCATATATTTTTAGTGAGAAACTATATTTGAAAGCTAACCGAATGCAAGAGGAACCTATAAGTTAACCACAGCTTCCACACACTCACACACAGCTAATGCTAATGGAAAGCCACTGATGATATGGACAAGTGGATGTCGAGAACCTAGAGCAATATGTACAACTCAGAAAGTATTAACTTTATATGCTTTGCTTCGATGTAAACCATAAAATTAAATGTTAAACGTTATTTGAGAATCGATTTGCTCGCAGGATAGTCACAATTTGAAAATGAACATAATCAAGCATACAAATAGAATATATATATACAAGTTGAGAATTTACCAGTAATATTTTTTAAATGTTGTAACCGGAAAGTGTCCATTTCAACTTGATGCATTGTTAAGCGTTTTTCTTTTAGACAATTGCTTGGTTCATAGGTTTTCTTTTTCAAGTTTCGTATGATTTCTTGTTTGCTAGAAGTATATGCTTTTTTTTAGTATACCTAAGTTATTTATAAGTGGTTATTCCAATCGTTTAACTTTGAAAGTCTGAGAAAAACGTTTTAAATTATTTTTGTTGTCGCCTATTGGCATTCTTACCACAAGAAGCATTCCAAAATCTGTTTACACATAAGTTATTGTATAATTTATTTATTATAACTTTAAATATAAATTATTTTAAAGGAACTCGCGATAATTTATTACAATGTAGCCTTCGCAAGCAACTGAGAGTCTCGCCTAATGTAATCATGAATCGTAATCAATTTGTTGAAATTTGTTAATCAATGAACGCAACACTAAAAATGAAAACATGTAAAATATTTCGTTAGAGTTTGAACGCGCATGAATCAAATATCAAAGACTTTGTACATGCCACCTGAAAACTGTCCACAATCCTGCCGTCAAAGCCAAGTACATCCAACGGCGGCAATCAACGATAAACAACAATATACGATTTACGTTAACAAGTTCATAACTTTTGCTGCGTCCAAGAGATCACTAAAGGCAAATACATTTTGAGCTTCCCTTTTTGTAATTGCTAGCGATTGTAAATTTTTTGTAGATTTTGTAATGATCTATGACATATTTTTATTTGTTCACATGAACAATTAAATAGATTTTGATTAGTTCCTGTAGATCCCGGTATTTATGTAAGATTTGTATACTGCTTTAGTTTTTTTTTGTTGTCTTAGAAAAGCATTGGTTTAATCTACTATTAGAGCAATCTGGCTGTTCTTTCGTCCCTTTGGTTCTATGTAGGCAAAGTCACAGTTTTTATTTGAGCACTTGTAAATTGTATAATTTAGAAACCCATTTTCCAATATCTTGTAATCAAAAGACTAATGCAATCTCTTTATTTTTCCAACAGAGCATCCGCTGACGACATGCGGGCAGCTGCACAGCAAACCTTCGGGGGAAATACACCTGCCCAAACCAACGATCGAGCGGGGATTGTGAACAACGCCCAGCCCTTCTCCTTCACCGGCGCCGTGGGCACGGACAGCAATGTGTGATGGGGAAGGACGGTGATCGGGATTTCGAGGAATCGAAGAGCTGGGTGTGCCGTGAGAAAACAAGACTCAAAACACAACATTTGAAGGGCAAACCTAACCAAGAGAACATCGGCAGGCAATCTACATAATCATGTGCAATTTCTAATTGTTCAAAAACCAACGCAAATGGATATCCAAAGTTTTTAAATCCGATTAGCTCTGATCTCTTTCAAGAGCAATAAAAATTACATGATCAGAAGCCCCCTAAAACAAAATCATTGAATTAAAAACCATTTTTGTATTAAATGTATGTAAATGTATATTGGTTTTAAAAGCGTTTTGCGTTTTCTGTTTCCTATTAATTGTGTTGCCTGTGTCCCATCATTCCAAAACATTTGGTTTCAACTAAGTAGAAATTGCAAATAAATTAATGAACGACATCACTAGCGAGGTGAAAAAAATTATGTAAAATTTATGTTTAGTCATAGTTTAAATATACCTTAAATATATTTAAATGCATAATACTAAAATGTTTAAATTAATGCAAATAACACTATAAATATTGTATGTAAACCATATTCAAATTGAATTAAACATACTTTAAATTATGTTAAATAAAATTAATTATACAAATCGTCGTCGACATCCCAACTAATATGGGGCATGCTTTTTGGATGATTCAAGAGCTGCGGTATCTTTTAGGGGAAATACAAATTCTGATTGCGTTCACAAATATCTTATATTTTTTAGACTTTTCGCCATAACAACAAATACTATTTATAAAAAGCAACATTACAAAAATGGTTAACTAAATGATTAAGATTCATTGGAGGCGCTTTCATCAGAGGCGCTTTCATCGGAGCCGCTTTCGTAGCCTTCAGGATATTCGATGATCAAAATTTCATCTTCTCCGCTGCTGCTGTCATCATCATTCTCGTCATCATCATCAGCATCATCATCATCAGCATCAGCATCATCATCATCGTCCTCTTGCAAATCGTTGGCAGACTCATCAGAATCATTCGAAAATTCCCAACGGAACCGACGGTCGCTGATCACATCATCACCCTGACCCTCAACTTCCGAGGAGAGACTGACGGCGATCACCATGGCGATGATACCTAAATTGGATGGACTTTGATGATTTGGTATCCTTTTTCCGGCTTTCATCTCCAAACTCACCAAAGAACACGAAGAGAACCTTGCTGGACTGCATATTTGATGGTTGATTGTAGCTTGAGATGCTTTCGATGCTGAGTGAGCTTTTGGCTTCAGCTTATATACCCAAATTTTGGCGAATGCCTTGCGAATCGTCTGAACCAGCAGATAGTGTTTGACTACCCCAAGATCAATGAAATGCCCTAAAATTCTACATAGAAACAACTAACAAAATATTAGCATAGCTATTGAGTTTGAGGCTACTAGTGAGTGATCAAGGTCAAACATTTCGGGGTTTGCTTGGTGTTTTTTGTAGGTGGAACCACGTTTTAATGCTGTAAATTGGGTTGCAAATTAGGTGGCAGTAAAATATTTTAGATCTTGGATATACTTAATATTAATATTTCGGGACACACACTCATGCCATTTGAGTCGGTAAATGAGTGTTTTGTATAAAAAGAAAAGGTAATCATAAGGTTTATATTTACAGATGTCGTCTTAAAAAAAATTTAAATACTAAGTGTTCTGCTCTTCTAAATATTAGGTAATTAAAATAGTAAATTGCGAAAAATAAGTAAATTTTTCTTATTTCAACTGAAATTCGTATTATGTTGCAAAAATTTGTTTATTTGTCACTTTTTTGCTTTAAAAATAAGCCATTTTTGATTATAAATTTTATTTTAATTATATAAACGGTTGGTTACCGCTGGAAAGTATGCCGTAGAAATGTAAGGTAATGTAAGATACTTTGTATAATACACAAGTATAAGTAGAATTCCATGTATATTTAATGTAAACGTGTACTGAAGGTTGAACCCTAATTCCCAGTTCTATTTACATGTTTTTAAATTAAAACACATCTTCTAAAGCGTATTAGAAGGTGTAAATGGTTAATTATGCTCCTCGCAGGCATCTATCCAATCGTTGAAAACATCAATTGCCTCCGAGAGATAGTTCACAGATGTTTGAAACATTTCCTGACACACGTTACAGGCAATTCTTCCCAGTTTTTTCGCCTTATCCCTAGTAATACTGTGCAATTAGTGGTACAAAACCATATTTCGATCACCACTCACATTTTCACTTCACATGCCTGCTTGTGATTGCAGAAAGGACAATCAAAAAGCAGGGGCATCGGCACAATGTTTTTTTTCCTTGAGGGTCCTTTGCGTTTTGACTTGCGACGACCCATGGTAAGTTGTATGGGAAGTTATATTTCAATATCTTAATAAAATTATTTATTTTATTTGAACTCGCAAACTGCTGACTATGCACTTTAATAATCAAATTTTGACAGCTTTTGCAGCGGTTTCTTTAATTTCGTTTAGGCTACAAAATGGTACGTTGCTAAAAATCAACGGATGTATAAATAATATTTTTTATGTTTTATTCAAATGCATTAGGGATATTTATAAGTGGACTTAACCATATTTTTGGGATCATTGAAAATATAATTTTATAATTCCCTATCCAACCAGATACATCTTAAGTGAGCTCACTGAATTGTAATAATCTGTTTTATATTCCTTTGCGCTTGTCTGTTTTTGTGTGGGGTTTCCAGTTCGAAAATTTCAACGTTGATATTGATCCGTTTGGATAAATAGGATCTTCAATTGATTGAGCCCACATCAGTTGAGCATCTGTCTAGAGATCCTTTAAAGAAATACCTTGGGATCCCTCTTTTTACGTAACTCAATGTAGCAGAAAATCCCTTTGTACCCGCCATTGTATCTCAGCCATCGATCCTGCGTCTGCCTTTGGGGCAAAGTATCGATTACGCAACTTGATTGAGCAGGCAAAATAGGTAGTTCGGTGCCCAAAGATGTCAAGTGTTTAGCCAGAGAGTAGATTTCAGATGAAACGACACCAGATATAGAATTGTTCCCACATCGCATATCTAAGGAACCCAGCGAAGTGCTTTCAACATACCGAATTTTCTCTGGCTAAAGCGCCGCAGGACGAAACTCTGCGATGACAGCCAAATCTCTGTGGAGTGTTAAGGGATTTCTCTGCTCGCAGCGTGAGTTTTGAGATGGTCCGGTTTTTCGGGATGCCTGCTGCTTACCATATTACCACCAGGACATCAAAGGACAGCTGAATGTGTCAACAGTTCTTGCCAAAACGCTGTCGGCAAGTTAAGAGAGTCGACATTTTGTTCGCAAAGCCAGCATGAAATTTGTACTAAAGTTGGCAGCAGGATGCCGCATCTTTGCAGATGCCCAGCTGTATTTTAGCGGCATTTATTCCATTCGCCATGCTTTTCGATACTGCCAGCCTACTGAATACGTTTTCCGCCAAATGGGATTAATTTGAGATTTTTTAAATCGAGTAGCGAGTAAAAGCCTTAAGACTTTGCTTCCGCTTCTAACCCTCCTTTCTGCCAAATGGCATTGTATTCAGGATCTGCTGCTCCTTTTCTCTCCTGGCTAATCTCTACTGCTCACATCTTGGCCAGCTGCTCCGCACCGTTTGCCTTTTGTGGCTTGACCATTTCGCTTTGTTGTTCGGCTGCAACTTCAATGGGCCCGGCCAGGACGCACGTCCTTTGTCCTTTTTGTCCGTTCATTTGCTTAAACGCATCTTATCCTGTTAAAATGTGCGCCCCGGCTTTCCGTTTCGCTGGAAAATTGATCTTTTTTTTGCAAATTTCCTCCTCAGCTCCTGGTCTTCTGCTCCTTTCGAGTGCACTCTAATTGAGATTTTCCTTGCGGGTAATGTAATACACGAGTTCCGCTTTCAAGTCGACGACAATGGAATTCGAAAGAAAAGTTTTTGGAAAAAGAATATCAGAACTAATCGGCCATTGTAAGGTGTTCTATGGATCGTGGGCTACTACATCCCATTTAAAACATAAAATATATAATACTTGCCAAAAACTATAAAAGGAAAAATTCAAAATTGGACATAATATCTATTTCAAACCATTTTGAAATTGAAAAACACATGAAAAGCCTGTGAAAGCTGACATCTTAATGATATCAGAAGCAATCAATTGCACACCTGAGCGAATACCAAATATCCGCTAAACAAAATGGGAACAATTATTAAAGCTGTTTTGTTCGGCCAATTAGATGTTCTATAAGCCATGAAGTTATTATTGTATTGTTTGGTGCCCATTTAGGTGTCCCCACCCACATAATATTTTTATTTCGGTTCCAATGCGAGTTCTATTTACATGTTCATGGCACACGCAGCGCATTCATAACCATATTTCATCAAAAATTCAAAGCGTTTCCCCCTGAAAAACATGATTATTAATTAAAATTCCCAAATCAAAATCAAATTACGAGTAAAACACAATAAAAAACGAGGAACATGAATAAATTTCCGCGCCACAAATATATACTTTTTGTTGATTGGGTCGAAGTTGGGGAGCGAACTTGGCAGCCTGTCGCCAGCGGCTTCCGTCGCCCAACTTCTAGGAATTTCTGTAGCGGCGAAATGTGCTCGGAAAATGCATATATTATATACAAATTAAATTATGCATAATTTCCCTGTTTTCCTCTCTGCCCTCCGATTTTGTTGCCTGCATTTAAACCAAGGCAGCGTGGGGCACCCAGCACCAAAACCATAAAACTGTCATAAGGCGCTGCCAACGAAATCGAGAGGAAAGCAGGCGACTGCAAGGAATCGGGAATTATTGTCTTCTGGGGACACATGTGTGACCAAGAACTACTTGGATATTACTGAGGGGATAGAAGAAAAAGAATACACAACATTTTTGAGGCGCTACACTATACAACCTGCCTCATTAAATAGAATTTAAAAAATAATATTAAAATGAATACTTTATTCTATAACAGCATACTTAAATACTTAAACAGCTTAAAATAATGCATTGCCCTGCATAGATTTGTATCATGAGTTAACTTGGTAATAACCTTATAATTACACCAAGTATTTATAAATTTAAGCAACCACTTAGCCGCATTTGATATTATGTTGCGGATGTTGTCCTTGGTAAAAGCATTCCAATAACCATTTCCTTTACAACCGAGAGCTCTGTTCTAGAGTGTAATAAAATTTCCATAAATTCAAAATGTTTGGTGCCCAATTAGCGTGTAAAATTGTCATAACCTTCCGCCAGGCGCCCTATCCGCAGGCTCGGTTCCATTCCAATCCCAATCCCAATCCCAACCCCGTTCCCAATTTGAATCCCAACCGATCAACAGGTAAAAAGTGATTTTATATGCGGCAGAAGGACCACCGACCTGCGTGGGGATAATGCTCATTTTCATTCGGTTTCGCTGGAAAATTATGTCTGACGTTGGCGCAAAGTGCCCGGGGCATAGTTTTCCCCATTTTCCATGTTTACCTCCGCTCGGTGCGCGTGGCGCGATTTAAATTATGATGACGCCAAGGCGCCAACTCGACCTGCCGGTGGGCCTTCATTTTCATCTCGTTTCCATTTAATATTTAAAGGCACTCGGAAAAATGGGCACCGTGTCTGAAAAAGTTGCAATTATTCCTAAAAAGGATAAAGGAATTAAAATACTTGTATCTATGTTCCTGAATTGCATTTCTGTTGTATATCAACATTTTAAAGTCAGTGCTCTCCTTAAGGATAAGTTATTCTGTAAGTACGTTTTATGGCATCACAAGTTACATTCTTTTATCCTATATAACTAAAGGATTTGTATTTGCGCCTTAGTGCGTTAAACTAGCCACGTCTGTTTAATTACTTTTATTCAATGTGGGCAGGTTGCATTTCCAACTCATTTCTTGTAGTGTTCTGTGTGCAGGGCACAGGAAAGGATAACAATGTTGGCCGGCGCTTCCACGGAACTATAAATTTTCCAGCTCATGATTACGCCAAGAGAAATATTAATTGGTCAGGAGCTGCAGCGGAGCAGCTGCCGCCTAATCTTATCAAATATTTGACAATAACCCAATTAGTAACCACCTACAGGAGGATCGAGAAAAGGACATCGGAACAACAAACAAGCATTGCGCAAAAAAGGATACCTTTTCGGACCTATGTCCTCTTTATTTTCGAGAAATGCTACCAGGGAAGCTGACAGGGAGTAAGACATCAGCAGATATAGACGCAGCTGCAAATCGGGGACAATGATGTCAAGTCGGAGTCAAAAGATGCGCGCGTCAACCATAAAACTAGCCGACCTGGACAAAGGAGATAGGACTGAAGAAAGGACCGCCCCTGAGGGGACATCCTTGCAGGACTCTCGGCGGGCAGCCAGAGCCTCTAATTTGTGAAACTTGCCTACAGTTTAGAAGGAGCGACGGGCAGTCTCGGTGCCCAGCCCATGACATTTGAGATTTTGCAGTCGATGATTTTCAATGCTGGACATTGTCAGTTCGGAATTGTAAGGATTCTCGATCCGTCGGCCGTGTGTGTCGTGTGGATTGAGAAAAGCGCAACTGAAAAGCCACAAAGAGCTCCGAAAATTTGCCATAATCATGACATTTTGTTCGCCCGCCTTTTGTCCTTCGATGCATTCTTCTCCCTAAAAAGATCCTTCTATGCCTCGCAGTATAATCGCTGTAATGTTGCATCTTTATCGTAGTTAGAGCCGATCGCGTAGAATGGAGATGCGACAGTGGATGATGACTTTGTTGTTGATATTGTTTGGGGATTGCTCTTTTGATGTCTTTTTTGGGAAAATTGCTTGCTTCGGCATTATTCAACATTTCTTGGAAGGACAATAGGCTTCATGCTTAAAATTCCATAATTTTTGTTCAATAATTTAATGTAGATACTTGTCTTAGCCAAGCCTTAAGATTCATTATTGACTTCCCCCCTAAAGTTCTCTCCTCTGCGATATAAGAAACTGCACATATTTCTACTTTAACCCCCACAACGAATCCAATCAGCCCCAGAAGACTGCAACTACTCTGGCATCCAGCACCCTATTCAGATATATATTCCCCCAACCAATCCAAGCAAATGCAGACCCAATTAAAATTAATTTTATTCAATTCGAAATCAAGTCCCAGCAGTGTCTTTTCAATTTCTTGCATTTCTTTGTGCGCCCGCTTGAGGAGCGATTATTTAATCTGGAGCTATTAATGCCGTGGGGTCCTCCGAGGAGCGGGGAGTGCTCCCCAGTGGGGGAGCCGTATCCGTCGCCTCTTGTTGTTGTCCTTGTGCCCGGAATGCGAATCCAGTTAGTCAATGCTTATTGATGTTTAGTTGCTGCTGCCGAGCTGCTGTGGTATTATTTCACTTGCGTTTCCGCTTTTGGCCTTGTTTACTTTTGCGCTGGGTCTCAGACAAAAGCCCCCAAAGATCCCCAACCTCCAACAACCCACACCCAATCCCCAGTCCGCATCCCCAAT